TTGTTGCACTTCTGAGCATAACTTTCAAATTTAAAAAATCTATGAAAAGAAAATTTGAGACAAATTTTTTTTTTAGACTAATAGGCTCCCCTTTTAAAGCTGAATTAAATGGTGACAAGTTTTTTAAAATCCAATGTGTAGATCACATAATATTTCAAAAATTTTAACTTTTGAGTATAGATGATCCGCACTGTATTAGATAAAAAATTTATTCAAGTTCTTAGCCGGCTTAGCCGGCTAAGGTTTTTCTACTGGCTAACATCACTAATATAGACAATAATGATATAACAATAATAATCGTAGCAGCGGTAATAGTAATAACAATACTAATAATAACAACAACAATGCCAATATTGATGATAATAATAATGGCGATAATAACTGCAAACAATAATATATCAATAATATTATTTACAAACCAAAGAAAAATTATCTCAAGTCAAGTGAATTTTGTAGTTTATTAGAAATTAGTAAAGCATATAAATATACTTGGTAAACAGTTTTACACAAAAAATAAATTTATTTATTCGTTAATTGATGATTAATTTGTATAATAGAGTGACGTCAGATACTGCACTAATCATTATCGAATTGATATGAATACAAAATTTTCAAAAACAAGATATTACTGTAGTTGCAAAAGGTAAATTCAAAAAAAAAAAAAATATATATATATACACCTTATCCATTTATATCCCCCTCCTTTGTTCCCATATGTTTTTGTCCCAGCTAAAGACACTTGCCGTAAATGATTGAGCTGGTAGCTACCCATTGCTGTGAATGGCTGTTGTTAGCTGCTATTTGCCGTAAAGAATTACAGCTTCCGCAAATAGTTTTCAGTTACTATCATTAGTATTATTAGTCATATTAGTCTTGCGAAAAATTGTATCATTCGTTTATTATTCGAAATATAATCATTCGTTTATCATTCGAATTGTTGTCATTTGTTTATTATTCAATTATATCATTTGTTTATTATTCGAATTGTTACCGTTTGTTTATTATTTGAATTGTATCATTCGTTTATTATACGAATTGTCATCATTCGTTTATTATTCGAATTGTTATCATTCAAATTATTATCATTCGTTTATTGTTATTATTCAAATTGTTATCATCATTCGTTTATCATTCGAATTGAAATCACTCGTTTATTGTTATTATTCGAATCATCACCATTCGTTTATTATTCGAATTGACAGCATTCATTTACCATTCGAATTGACATCATTTGTTTATTATTCGAATTATTATCATTCATTTATTATTCAAATTGTATCGTTCGTTTATATTATTATTCGAATTGTATCATTCGTTTATTATTCGAATTGTTATCATTCATTTATTCGAATTGTTATCATTCGTTTATTATTTGAATTATTATTATCATAATTCGTTTATTTGAATTGTTATCATTCATCTATTCATATTGTCATCATTTGTTTATTATTCGAATTGAGATCATTCGTTTATTATTTGAATTGTATTAATCATTTGTTTATTATTTGAATTGTTATCATTCGTTTATTCAAACTATTTGTTTTGCTTGAATTATTCATTTTATTTCATTTATTCGTTTTATTGTTCGAATTGTTGTCATTCGTTTATTTGAACTATTTGTTTATTCATTTTATTCAAACCATTTGTTTATTCTTTTTGTTTGAAATATTCTAATTATTCATTTTACTCGAATTATTCATTTTGTTTGAAATATTTGAATTATTCGTTTTATTTGAATTATTCTAATTATTCATTTTACTCAAATTATTCATTATTCATTTTATTCAAATAAACTTCAATGTAATTCAATACTCAATTTCATAACGTGTAAAACAAATAATTCGAATAAACCCTTATTCAAATAGAAACTCTAATGCTAATCAAGCAGTATAGTTGTATGTAGTGATTTTAATTTAGTTTTCCAGATTTGTTGACTCCAATAACTCTGATTGCATGCTTGCAATATTTATTACAGTTTTACAACTTTAGGGTGTCAATGCTGAATTTTCGTAGTTCAGGTAAAATTTTTAATTTTTTAGATATATTAATATATTTTTGTGATACATATTTGTGGCTGAAAAAAAAAGTTCTTTAAAAAAAATTTTTTTTTGACAAATTATACAAAAAACCACAATGGAAAACATTTTGGATGAAAATAAGCATCATGACAATACTTCTACTGACAAAAATGATGAATATTTTGATAAAAGAGAAGAATGGTATGGGGAATGTCCAACTTGCAATAAATATAATACTTGGTATTTATGGTGTCAATCATGTGATCCAAAATTATTAACTAAAGGATGGACTAGTGACAATGAAACATTAGATGAATTGATTAAAAGTACACAACTTAAAGCAACAGGACCTGATAGTGATGATTATCTTCAATGGATTCCTTATGATGATTTAACAAATATTGAAAAGATAGGTGAAGGTGGGTTTGCAACTATATCCAAAACTACTTGGTTAAATGGTTTGAAATATATAAATAGTGAAGTAAGAACTAGTGAAGATGTGAATGTGGCATTAAAAAAACTACATAATTCACAGAATATTTCTGATGAATTTCTTAATGAGGTAAATTATTTTATTTTTCTATTAATTTTAGATTTTTTAAATATTATTCTGAAATTCAATATATTTTTTCATATAGTTTAGAAATTATGTTACATTTCATGGTGAATCATTTATAAATAAAATTTATGGATCAACACAAGATCCAGCTACAAAAGAATATATCTTTGTAATGGAATGCATGGAAGATGGAAGTCTTCAAGATTATGAAGATCAATATTCAAAGGGAAGAAAAGAAGAGTATGAGGAATGTCCAACATGCAATAGATATAATACTGATTATTCATGGTGCCAATCATGCAATCCAAAGCTATTAACTGAAGGATGGACTAGTGGCAATGAAACATTAGATGAGTTGATTAAAAGTACACAACTTAAAGCAATTAAATATCATTATAGTAATCATCTTCAATGGATTCCTTATAATGATTTAACAAATATTGAAAAGATAGGTGAAGATGGTTTTGCAACTATATCTAAAGCTACCTGGTTAAATGGTTATAAAAGTATAAATTATTATAACAATGAAAGAATTAGCAAGGATATGCCTGTAGCATTAAAAAAACTACACAATTCACAGAATATTTCTGATGAATTTCATAATGAGGTGAATTATTTTATTTTTTTGTTTATTTTCAGATTTTTTAATTATGATTAAATATTTTATTTGTTA